TAACAGTGATATGAAAGAAAAGCCATGTTCCAGATGCCCACACAGATTTTTACAAGCACAGTATGCAATTTCTTGTTCACTGCTGGTAGAAATGCACAGTTAATGGTGGTGACTATGCTGAAGTAGTGTTTTGTATCTGAGAACTTGCTCTGTCAAACAGTGTTCTTACGCTGTTTGTATCTACTGTAGTTTCCATGGAAAAAAAATAGAACACCCTACATTCAGAGTGACTTTTGTATATTTTAGAAGCCTTTTGTAGCCTACTACCTGCATTTATTCATTTGAATCTCACTTATTGATACAAAGGAAAAATGTCTTAAGTGGTCCTATCTTATGCCAGGCAATTTAGGTGTTTCACTTCTCATCACATCTGTTGAAACACATATGGCTCTTTGAGGATATTAGGTATATGAAGGCTATTTCCCCTTTAGTCCTCTGTCCAGCCACTGAATATGAACTTTTTACTCAGCATTTCCCAGAAATAGCTGTGATTACCACTACGTCTATGGTAACAAATATGCAGGGTCTTAGGCAGAAGCATAATGTGTTGTTAGAGTACCAGTTTTCTGCACACTTGAATATTATTAGCATTATTAACATTATCTATGTTTCTCTTGGGTTTATGTATGATTGTCTGTTATTGATTTCCCTCAAGTGTTGCTGGATTTTCTTCATTGTAGGACAGTTACAACTACCTTACTGTTACATATTTGAGGTCCTCCAAAGGACAAAATGCTGTGCCAGAGTGCTCTAAGTTAGGCTGAAAGAAAGTTCCCTGAAACCTACTTTTTTGAGGCACTGAATATTGTACAAAACAGCCTACGCACTTGGCTATGATATTTTTTATTAATGGAGTGCTTCTAAAAGGGCTAAAAACCTACTTAAGGCTTTAATAAATCTTGGGAATGAGCGGGTGTTTCAGAAGTTAAGCTCGCTGCCATTACCCTGTAACGTTACCTCCTGAGAGGCTACCTGAGTCAGTGTCAGTGTGCTGTGCCTGCACTCTGCAGCTGGCTCTGAGAACCGGTGTTAACCTCTCTCTCTCCCCTGACACATCCAGATTATTCCCATCAGAATGAATTGATGAATGAAAAGATCATAGTTAATGGGTATTACCTCAACGCAGAGGGCCAAATCCTATTATCCTGTGCTACAGACAATGTAAATAGTATTTGTGTAAAGGAGCCCCACTGGCATGAAGAGAAATGGAGACTTCTACCACGAGGCCCCACATCTCCCCCTCCGCAGTCCCATCCTTGCTCAGCAAAACCTCCCCAGTTCTGCAGCTGTTTTCCATGACCAAAGGATAATGGAGTCTGGCCCACGGAGCTTCATAAAGAGCCTATTAGCAGCAATAGGAAGGCTCTCATTGACATCAGTGATGTTGGTGACGGGCCAGCAGGGAGGAGGCTTGGCTGCACGGTCGTGCTGACAGCTTCACAAGAGGTACTGGGGTGCTTTCTCTGTGCTTGTGGTACTTTGATCACTTTTCACCCTACCTTTTTTCATATTACTGTAATAAGTACATTAGGTGGGTTACACAGATTACAGTGTGTGTTCTACGTTATTTGGTATATTATTCACCAACAAATATAAGATAAAAAAGTAAGTCTGCATATAATTACCCATAACTGCTGACTGACTTATAATTAACTTTGAAAAATTGCTGGTTTAGGAGATATTACAGATTACAATTTTAAATACAAAGAGCTTCAGAATAGCTCTCATGATCAGTGAAAGTACAAGGTATTCAGAAAAGGATTAATTCCCTAAACTGCTAATCAGCTCTATCTCCTGTCTTATCAAATTGTAAATACATTATGCTGTATTAAAGTATGAGCATGCAGCTAATTAAAGCAGAGCCTGAATTTAATATCAGGTACTCCCACCCAACATAACAAAAATGTTCTAAAGGCATACATAGCAAGTACTAACAAATGAAAGCACTTCTTTTAGAAGTGATGCTGTGTTTATATAGCAGGCTTTTGTTTTCATTTTGGAGTGGGTTTTTGTGTTGTTGTTTTTATTTTTAAGAGAAAGGAGAGCGGTAAACCACACTGTCTTTCTGGAGAAACAAGTTGGGGAAGACATTAATTCTATTTGGTCTGCAGCTGTAAACTCACAACAACCAACCAAAGGATTACAACCAAGGATTTACAAATATACATCCAGATAAAATTTGGTTCAATTATTAACATTGCAAATAGATTCTGATGTTAAATGCTGCAAACCAAAATAAGTCTTCTTTTAAAAAGCACGAGAACAAACTCATCTACATTGTTAAAGAAAAGCAATAGAAATTTAAATGAATATTCAGTTAAGCCTATCTGAGCAAGCAAAGGTTCAGAACCATGACTGAGCATCATTTACAAAACTACTTCCTTTAGTTGCTTTTTGTTTGTTTGTTTCAAACTGAAATAAAGCAATATGATTATAAGGAAAGCAGAAAATGTACGCGCGTGCACGCACACACACACACACACACACACACACACACACACATACATGCATACACATTGTCCACCAATGAAACAAACATAAAATGGAGGAGAGAATACCCTGCATGGAACCTTTCAGCAAAGTTAGTTTTTGAAAATTTCTTCACATAAGCCTCAAATATTTTTATGCCACTTAAAACTTTTCACACCCAAAAGAACTCAGAACATACGATGTTATTAATGTGACATTAATGTATTAATACGATATTTATGTAACAAAGATGTGCATTTTGTCAAAATCTACACAGTACTGTATCATAGAAAATCAATAGCAGGAAGCATCTTTGGGATCCTCTCCTCTCTCTCTCCTCTCCTCCCCATTTGCTTAAACATCTCTACTTACAGAAAAAAATCAGACCATGAAATCAGAGATTTACCAATAAACATTTGCAGACTTTTGATAGGGATAATATTGAAATAAGATAGAGTTACTACCTTGTTTGATCAATCTTTATTATGGGGATCTTATTTTTTAATAGACATGGATCAGAAAAGAGTTTCCCCCTCCCCACTCCATCACTGGATTCTCCAAGTTTTTTATACGCAGAAACTTTATCTGACTTGTTCCGTTTAAGTGTTTTACTGAAACTCAAAATCACTCCAGTTTGAACTAAAAATTCTTCTCTTTACTCTCCCCAGGTTAATTTGCTGGCTTTTGGAGTGATTATTTATAAAGTATTTCGACACACTGCAATGTTAAAGCCAGAAGTTAGTTGTTATGAAAATATAAGGTAAGTTTGCCATTTAATACTATTTTAAACTTCTGTTTAAACAGAATAAAGCCAAATGTGAAATTAAGGATTCAAAAACAATGATTTAAACTTCTGGAAGATATGTGGAAATACCGAAGTGGTTTTCTTCTATTGTCGTATATATCTGGAGGTAAACTTTGCAGTCTTTCCTTCTCCTGACCAATGCCTCTTGCAGTAACACTGGACTTACAGGAGATGTATAAAAACACTACAAGAGGTCCATGTCAATCAAAGGATAAAGGCTGAGGGGAGGGTTAAAGTAGTAATTGTACCTTCTGTAGCCTCTATGCAAGTCAAAACATGCCCAAATTGGGACCAAAATATTTACCTTGAAGTAACAAGGCATACAAAAATCCTGTGATAAAAAAATCAGGCCATTTTTATTAGTAGTAAAAAGTCCACAGTAGGGCATTGTGCTTCTATGGTGTTGAGGAGTGGGGGGTTCCTCTCCAGGATTTTTACTTTGCATGCTGTTATGATTTTTCCATCAACTCACTCTCTTTAAAACTGATTTATAGGAACCTTGAAAAACGTTTGTGCAGGAAAAGCTGAAGTGTACTACAGGGAACATTGAAAACAACTTACTGTTTGTGTTGCTTAGGAACACTCCTGCAGTTTCAATGCACTGCACTAGATTTATAGTTAGGATTTAGCAATTGTTTGATTGATTACTTTCTCTTATTCCTTACCCTTCATAGCTTCATGTGGTGAGCTGGTTTTAATGAAGTTGAAAATTATTCATTTTCTGAGGAACAGTGCTAAAAATGTCTGTTGTTCAAAGGAAGTCCTGCAATGACTAGGCTGAGAATGAATAAGAAAGTAATCAGTGGTTTCATTTCCAAGACAACATGCTGCAATTTGCTTGTGCCCGTGAGCAGGGCTTTACAGTATGTTGGAAAAAAAAAATCATAGCCAATCAGTTCCTGTAATTTTAAAGCATCAATACAGTGACCCAGAAAATATTTGAGAGTATAAGTTTTGTAAAAACAAAAATATATTTTTAAAAGGAGAAAGAATGAAAGCAGGAAAGTCTAGGTTTACAACTGGCACCATCTTCTTCAGTGAACCTGAGAGGCAGCCTAAGAACCCTTTGATGTCATGCACATGTACTGACCTAAGAGCATACTGTACATTTTTCTGGGTTATTTTTTGAGGAGGATAAGGGGGAGGAGGAAAAGCGAGAGAATGCTTCATAACAGACATATGTTTTTCCTTGGGGAATTACACTAACAGTAGATTTAAATCAAATCATATGGTGCTGCAGTACACCAGAGAAAACATATCTGAAGATTAAAGAAGCCAGTGTTTTAAGGCCCTCCAGTTTTACTCTTTTGCAGTCAGCAGTGATTGTGTGTGCTTATTTGTGTCACGGTGCTACAGCACACCCTAAAGAGCAACCCATGCATTTGCACTTCTTAGGCCTTCACAGAAAAAGAATAAATTGCCTAGGTAGCATTCCCTTTGCCAAGCAGCAAAGGGATATGCAACATGTTTGCGTTTGTCTACATTTCCCTAGGTCCTGTGCCCGAGGTGCTCTCGCTCTCCTGTTCCTCCTTGGGGCTACTTGGATTTTTGGGGTCCTCCACGTCGTCCAGGGCTCCGTGATTACAGCCTATCTGTTTACAATCTTCAATGCATTTCAGGGGATGTTCATCTTCATCTTTCTTTGTGTGCTGTCCAGAAAGGTGAGTGTCCTTATGGGGAGCCACAGGGGCCCTCAGCTGTGCCCAGGACAATGCCTAGACTTGAAGCGGAGCAAAGTCCTAGTGTGGACGGTTTTTCAAAGCAGGAAGAAACCCTTGTTGGGAGTGGGATGGGAAGAGGGGAAATACTGCTGTTGCCTTCTGGGGAGACAGAACATCTTTGCTCCTATTTTCTTCCTGTTTAAAAAAAAAACAAACTTACAGAAGATCAAAAAATGAACTTGTAAAACTCACCAGTAACCAGATGAAGCAATGCAATGGATGCAGTAAAGCTCAATTCCATTCTTTGCAGTTAGTAACAGGATTCACATTCCCCAAACAGTTTTGAGATTATGCTTTTTTCAGTGTCCTGTCCTACAGTTGCAAGCATCCCCACCTTAAAATATCTAATGAAGTGATTCATACACAATTAGTAAAAACACATCTATTTCATGTTTGGATTCAATATTTTTCTTTCAGATTCAAGAAGAGTATTATAGGTTGTTCAAAAATGTTCCTTGTTGTTTCGGCTGCTTAAGATAAATAGAAGGAAAATCAGCGTGAGCATCTTGGTGGAAAAGGGGAGCAACCTAGATCATGTCATTATGGATATTACAGGAAAAAGTGGTATTGTACAAGCATGAAATGACCCTGAGTGGGCATATTTCTTAAGTGATTTACTGACTGCTTTTGTACGTATGTGTGCATTCATGCATTTATATTATGCTGTATACAAACAGCATACAAAACAAACTGGATTATCACAGAACATATATTAACAAAGACCAAGGAAATAAGAAAATTTTAGAACGAGCTCAGGACTTTTCATGACTTAGGTTTTGTTTCTGATATTGGAAATATCTTCAGCTCTTGGAAGAGAAATATCAAGAACCAGCTAGCACAGCAGATTTTATTAATCACTTGATAGTGGAATCATACTCGCTGTCTTTCTGTAGCAATGAGCTTCTTACATTCAGTTGTGTATGACCATCTGCAGTGAATGGGTTCCATTAAAAAGTCAATAGATAAAGATCTGCTTCAGCACAGACTTTTGAAAACATTTCTTTTAATTTAAAGTAGATTTAAAAAGGAATTTGTTTAATATTATTCTCTTATAGCTCTGAAATATATATCTGTATATTAATCAATTCTTTATTTTTATAACTTTCAAGCAATAGTTTAGATCTGAAGGAACTGAGGTCAGATCTGATGCAAGAATGGTATCAGTATGGGACAGCCATTTCGTAAGTGAAAGGTTATTTTGTGAATACTTTGAAAAGGATCTGGTTCTTGTTTTATTTAATTGCCAAAAAGACTGAGATCTGCTAAACTGGCACTATGATCTGGGAGGCATTGGGAAGGAAATACTTTATGAAGTTTGTCACTTGGTAGGGACATGTGGAATCCAAACCACATAGGATCAAATGGAGGATCAACTGAAAAATAGACTGGTAGAATTCACCTATGTAAAAGCGTACAGATTTAAATTCAAGATCATGTGCTTCCATGAAATTGTAATTACAGCAGTTTTCCCTATTTGTAGCACCCTTGAGTCAACCATTTCTCTTCCTCCAATGCTCCTGAATTTAGAACATTTATCCTGTGTTTATCCTTTAGAGCATACACAGATCTGCTGAAATCAGAGAGAACTTGCTGTGGTGCAAGCTTTGCTGCATCAGGGCATAGATGTGTTACATCAGCATTTCCAGCTGTGCTATCATACTCATATACATTTTTAAAGTATGCTTTAATTTCATCCTTTTAGCACCTAGTTAATGTGAAGCACTGAGGCTCATTCCACGTTGCCTTCTAAGGAAGTGTCTAAGATCTCAGAAGAAGCCATTTATTTTTACCAGTCAGACACTGTAAATATGTAGTTGTTAATAAATCCCACTGTTGTTTTGTCTGCTAAAATGAAGTACTACTCTGAATTTTATTTATATTAAAGGAATTCTTTTTTTTTTTTTTTTACTAACAGACAGATTTGTTTGGATTTTATCTTTTTTCCATATACACAAGGCTTTCATTGTATGTACAGCAATGATGTGCTTCATTATGTATATTCCATGTCTCTGTCAAAATTTTGGAAACCACAAGAGGAATCTCTTTTTTTCTGGGGAAAAAAAAAAAAAAAAAAGTATTTCAGATGGTCCTTTGAATGTAAAATATGTGAATAAACTGAAATGCTTAGCTTTCACATTTTAACATATTTCCCGTCATTTAAATAAATACAGTGGAAAAGTTCTCATGGTTATATATTATTTGCCCTGAATTATTTGCTGTATTTCGTTTGCTGCTCTGTATGTTCCCCCAGGTTTGCAAAAATGCAAATATTACTCAGCAGAGTCTTTTTAGAAGGATATCTATTAATGCATCATTTTTTAATCCCTTGCAGAAGTATAACCTATACTAAGACTGGCTGGGCAGAGTAGTATCTCTAACATAATGACTTCAGCATGCTTAGTGCAATTGAAAAATTTTCCTTGGAAAGAAAATATGTCATGAAGTGTTTAGGTTACAATAGTCTTTTTAATGAAATAACATCTTTTATAGGAAAACCATGCACTCCAGTATCTGGGTCAGATCGTCATTGAAACTGGGTTTTCCTTACATGCAACGATGAGATTTATGTTTTAATACAGTACATAAGAGCAGATAAACTTTGTTTAGATTCATCACCTTCAAGCCTGAAGGATATTGTCATTGTCCTCCCTAAAGCATGCAGATATACTGATGAGAAATAAAAGGGTTTATTTGTCACTGCCCTTACTAACATAAACCCCAGCCCAGCAGAAAGGGAGAAGAGGTAACGGACATAAACTGAAAAAAAAACCAAAGATTTCAGCATGACAGCAGAAAAATCTTTTTCAGCATGAAGCTAATTGAGGATTGCAAACGGTTTTCCAGAGAAGTTGCGCAGCTGTGTTAAAATCTTTGGAGTTTTTAGGACTGGATAAAGCCTCTAGCAACCTGATCTCATACCTGACCCTGCTTTGAGCAGGACAGGGGATGAGATGACCTTCTGAGGTCCTTTCCAGCCTGAATTATTTCATGAGTTTAGGATATTAAGTATCAAACTGAAAAAAATAACAGTTGGGCATCAATTACAGGCAAAGTAAGGAAACCTGTGCTCAAGTCATCCATCAGCTGAACAAGTTGCTTTCCCAAAAATAAATGTGACCTATTTGTCAGATCAACTGGTAACTAGTTGACTGGTTTGATGTATTCAGCATCTTTTCAGACTGCATTCTTTTGAAGGGAATATGACATCTCCAGGTGGGGCCAGCAGAAAAAAAAGACTCAAAACAGTGATTGACAAGACAGATAAAAGTAAAATGTTAAGGTTTCACTCTGAAAGCAAGTGCTTGCTGAAGAGAGAAATTGTTCTCATTAAACCAATCAAAGAGAAATTTGTGTTCAGTGTTGCATTTCATAATGTGCTTCAAAATATAATAAATAAGGTCAGAATTAAAAATGACTGGTTTATTCTGAAATAATTGTTTCTTCAAACAATAGGACATGTATTTTAAGGAAAAGGCAACTTTTTAGAGTTAATTATCATCACAACCTTTGGGAGCTTCAGTTTGGCAGACCTGTGCTGATGGCCAGCTGATCTTTACCTGCTGGGATGAAGTAGGTAGGCACTGACTGCCCAAAGTGGCTTCAGACTTTCCTCTGCTCATCAGTTTTCACAGTCCTCAGGACATGGTGATGCTTTGAATTCAGAAATTTGTATGCTTGTGCATCTTTTCAATTAGACATTAAAAGGAATGTCGCACATGGTGCCATTATGCAGACGGAGCAAACATTCGCAGGGCAGGTTCCAGCAGACGCATCTCTTCACACCAATAGTACTACCTTTTACATCTTTGTCATGATATTCCTTTACAGACCAGCTCAGAACCACACTCTTGGCAGGTGTCTGTTAGTCACAAAAGTCCAGTGTTCTTCTTTGAGAACTTCATAGATAAGATTAAAAACTGAAACTTAACCCATGAAGAAAGTTAAAAAATGTTTTCCTTTGGTAAAACAGGAGGAGGGGAAGGGCCTCGAGACAACATCCTTCTGTGTTACTCTTTTCTCTCTGTTCTTATGCATTCAGGACACACAGCATTACTGTGCTGTGAAATTACAAAAATGAAGATATTACCTCACCGAAGTCAACCCCCAAAGCTATCTTTATATAAAATTAAGCCTGTAAGACTGATGCAGACTTGGAAATAGCTAGCCATCAGTACAGCAGTACTCCATCTAACCACAACCAAAACATCGAGTGCAAATGTGTGAAAGTATTTTCACAAGTTGCCTGGCTCCCTGCCAGCCCAGCCCTCATAGCCAATGCTGTGAGCAGCCCGATCATACAGACTGCAGCAGAGTGAAAGACCGTGGCGCCTTTTTCAGACTCTGAATCTCCATGACAACACATTGAACAAAACCATACGGAGAACCAAGAGCCCTCGAGCATCCAGGCTTTGCCAGGAGTCATATACATGGCCACACGTGGTACCTGGAGATCCTGGAACTGCTGCTTCAAAACAAGCCTCGAGATATGACTGTGAGCACCATAATTCTGTCAGCTTTACTGTTATGCAGCACAATTGACAGCAGCAATTTTACTAGGTGAGAAAAAAAAAAGACCAGAAACTGAAGGGGAAGAAAAAGAAATAAACAGAAAGTAGCAGTAAAGCCAACTGCTGAGAATGTATTAATATTTTGCAATCTGAAGCCAAGCTAGAGGGTAAAAAAAAAAAAAAAAAAAGGCACAGAAATTCTCACACTTAAATATGATTATTGACAAATTATATTTATGATAATAAGACCCTATTTTGTTTTTCTTGAGGCCTTAGTTTTACAGCTTCACAACGTAGGTCTGTCCTTTTCCAGGAAATCCTTCTCCTGAGCTATCCCTTTAAATTTGGCAGAAGCTGTGCTTGTGTAGAAGTTGTTTTACAGCTCTCTGTTTTTTCTCATCTTGCTGGTAAGTACTCAAATTTTATCGTGTTTACTCTTTTGGATTCCCAAGGAAATAGCATATTTTCAATCGGTTTCATAACATAGGGGAGTTTTTCTGTTTTCTGAAGCATTGCTGGATGTTCTAATTAAAATCAGCTCTAAGATTAGCCATCAGTCTTCACTGCAGTGCAACAGGCACATCCCTCCCGTGTAAGCCTTTGTATTTATCATAGCTATTTGTATAAATGCTGTAGTCAGCTCTGAATCCATGTAAACCTAACACCATTTAAATTAATTTTCGAAGAGTTTTGCGAGACACTGCTGAATAATTTAGTCAAATCCAAGATGATTACAACCAGTTCTTCTTTATAGTAGCTAAGTAAGTTAGAACTGTTACGCAAAAGCTTTTTCTTGTTGCTGTTTTTAAGAGGCAATTCTGTTTATATTGTAAAATTTTGTGGGAAATACTTGGTTGCTAATATCCATAAATCAGTTATATTTTAGTCAGGGTAGGGATGTATTCCTCCTGTGTTAGGCCCATTATTATTGAGACTAATGGATTGAGTAAGAGGCAGCAGTCTTCAAAATCCCTTTCCTCTTTGAATGTTTCTGCAATAAGCAGACTTCTGGCACCACCTTGGCTTCTGATGGGTTTCAGAAATAATTGTTGATGATACAGTAAATTTGTTTTCTATCCCTTGTGCTTAAATCCCAGTCTCACAAACACTCATGCATTTGCTTGGTTTTATGCACGACTAAGTCTTTGGTGTTAATGAGACCGCTCATGTGCATAAAGCTAAGCATATGTGCAAGTGTTGCATGATCAGGGTCTTAGGATGCCAATTTGCAGTAATAACAGATTTGCATAAACTCATGATCCCAAGCACTGTGCTCCCTGCTCATTATCAATAGTGAAATTCATTTAGCTGTTTTTCATTCAGTGATGTTGCGGGTTTTGTTTATTTTTGCTTTTCCTTTTAAGGTGAATTTAAGGATGGTTTTCTTGCCACTAATGAGTTATTGCTGATTTCATCTTTATTTTCCGTCATATATATGGGAGCTATTCTCTCTGTTTGCAAATGCCCACTTTCCCCGTGTTATTATCATCTAATTCATGCTAGCAATAAAAGATCAGATCACTTCTAAAACTGAAAATACGTTCCTTGCTGGATAAGAAAGGTGCAGAAACACCATGCACAAATTCCCAGCTCATCAAACTCCTGTGAACAAGTCATGGCTTCTGTCACCAAGGGGTTAGGCCCAAAACTAAATTAATAGCAGCTGTAACCCATTTGGAATAGATGCCAGCCAAGGGAGAGGCAGCTTGAGCACCTCTTCAGCAGGTGGCTTGATGGAAGCAGAGAAAAGTATAGTATATCCTCACTGAAACTGTAGCTTGTGTTCTGGTGAGGGATAATCCTCCTTCTTACTCTCATCTCTGGCTTGTTTTTTTTATGATCTCCACTTAATGCCTATGATATAACTTCTAAAGACTTCAAAGTTCAACTCCTCCTTATCAGAAGCAGTGGTGCGTACAGAGCTTCTCTGAATGGATGGGGCAAGTACCAATGAGAACATACATACCTTTCACAGACCCTCCCCTCCTTGGTTTGCCCAGTTCATATACAGTTGTTTTCCAGCCCCAAGTTTGGCCTGCAGAGGATGAAGTGAGTTCAGGATTTGACTTTGCAGTGGGGAATTGATCATAGTGCTGCAAATGGCAGTGCTTGATGGGTGGTAAAACAAAGACTTGACTGTCTGCTAACTCACACATGCAAAGTTTTCAAAGACTGGGAGGGAAGAATAGATTTGTGAACAAAATGGGTGGTAGAAGAGTAATCAACCAGAGAACCACACACTTCTCTGTCTGAACAATTGAGCCTGATAAAAAGTGAATAGTACAGGGGAAAAGGAGGCAGTGTCATTTTAAAAAGGAGAAAAGGAAGAAAAAAAAAACCAACAACCCAGATTTATGGATTATTGGGAAAATGAGAGAAACGTCAAATGGTAACAGCTTCCAAGGATGTATCCCCTGAAGCTAAACAAAATTGAAAAGGCATCAACTGAATCTTAAAGCAACTCTCAAAGATGTTCTACTCACTACCTTTTTAATGAATGATTTGTATGCAATACTTCTAGGTTACAAATCTTATGGGTTAGTGAATTGGACAGCGCTATCCTGAAGAACCATCAGGAAAAAGCTTACAGTAATAGAGCAAGAGGGAAAGATCCTGTGGTTCTGCTCAGCTTCCATGAAACCATGTAAGCCACTGAGATTTATATACACTATCACATGTTTTGAATGATCTTACTTGTTTTTTTTCTTTGATAAGTATGACTTTCTCAAAAAAAAATTATATATATATATGTAGAGATACATAAGCTGTAAGCCACAAATGAATTATAGAATGGCCTTGGTTGAAAAGGGCCTCAAAGATCATCATTTCAACACCCCTGCTGTGGGCAGGGTTGCCAACCACTAGATTAGGCTGTCCAAAGTTTCCTTCTGGGTGTGACAGAAACTGTATGTACTGGGTACATACATCTCAGATACATCCTTTTCTGCATGTTACTTGCACTGAGAAGGATGAGCAGGAGTACACTTTGTGCTTATGCATAGTCTACAAAAGTAGAGTAGTATAAAACCTTTTTTTTTCTTTTTTTTTGAGATCTGTCCTTTCTTGTGGTCAAGGTCATTCCAGTTACTTGAAGGACCAAAGGATTCTCTCAACTATGTACTGCCTACAGCCCTATTGGAAATGCTTACATGTTGCATGGTTATTTCATGGCTATTTTAGACCTCTTCCACCAGTTCCTCCCCCAGATCAGCAGTACTGATGGAGGATGTTGCGAGTGACAATTTTGCTGTCTTTTCTATGTACAAGACGTGCTGGTGAAGGACCTTATGTAATGACAATGAAGCAATAGTATCTTCTTTAGGGCTTGTATAGTGCCAATACATGCAGACCTTGGAGGTCTTATTTGTCAGGTTCTGCAGATGAATATTAGTGGCTGTTTGTCAAAGCAAACATCCTCTCCAAGAAATGTCTGTGCTTGGGTCTCCCCTTTCTATAGCAGGAACAATGGAAGGCAGTCCCAAACAGTGCATGGAGGTAGAAAAATCTGTCTGCTGTTGTGATAAAAGCAATGACTGAGCCAGATTCAAGTTACTTCAGCTGTTTGCTGAGGGGAAAAAAAAGGAAAAGGCTGATAGCAACATAGAATTGGTGTGTGGCCCCAGCTGTGCACAGAAGCACACACCCCTTGAGGTAGGAGGCTGGTGCTGTGCTCTAGGAAGATTAGCAGGACTTGGTCCTGGCGGAGAGCCCTGCCTAGAGGGCTACCAACATGCCCACTGGGCTGAGAGAACCTGGCCACTGCTGTTGCCAAACAGCACAAAGCAACCAGGAGGTCCCAGAGAAGACTGCGCAGGAAGGCTGGGATAAAGTGGAGAGGGATAAAAAAAAAATGATGTTGGTAATAAAGCCTCTTGTTCAGCATTACACGAAAGCATGTTGTCTGTGATCTGTACCACTTATGCCTTTAAGAGTACTTCAGCGGATTCCTGAGATTTCACAATGCTTTACTTTAGTAAACCTAAATTTCAAATTGTAACTCCCACATCTGTCACTAATGAGGGCAGCAAAACTTTGGAGATTTCTGAAAGACATCTGGAGCCGCAGAGAGCAAATTCTCTGGAGGCCAGCCCAGGAGGAAGGCATTAACCCTCTCAGTGCTGATGGAAAACAAGGAATGCCAGCTACTCTTACTGAATAAAAGAACCTGTACATACCTGAAAGTCCTACTGCAATTATTTTCAGCATAACACAGCTTCTCCACAAGCCCAGGGCCCTTCAAAGTGTAATCACAAAAGCAGCACACAAAGAGGTTGCATTGTCCCTTAGCAGGCTGGAGCAAGCTGCGGCTACTAAGTACAGGGGTGGAAGTGGCAGACCAGAGTCCCATTGTGTGCTCCATCTGAACGGAGCGACTCCTGCTCCTCAGACAGCTCTGCTCCCTGCATCTAGCTGTCGCAGCGCTCTGGCTTGGCTCCTGCGAAGTAGGCACTTGCGACAGACACGCCCGCTCCTCTACCACTTCTTTGTTTAAATGAGTTCAAAAGTTCCCCGTTTCCTGACAACTTTTTTTCCCTCTTTTGTTTTATACCAATCAGTTAATTTGCTAACATCACCCTCCTTATCTCCCGATCTTAGGCAAGCTGGCTGGGTTTACTGATGTCTTTATCGTGCATTCCAGCCATCACTGAGGAATGCAGGTCGGGAGGGAAAGAAGGAGGGACGACTCTTCTGAAACTGGAAAGGGAACGAGGTCAGGGTAGTGGGGCAGGCAGCAAGGGTGGAAGTGCAGAAAAGGGAGGTGCTTTAAAAACAAATTCACTAATCCAACTGCTGCTCAGCTTTGTCCTGCTCTGCACTGCTAGAGATCGTTTTTGTTTTCCTTTCTCTTTTTTTTTTATTTTTTTTAATTTATTTTTTTTTAGTACTTGTTTTGCCTGTTATAAAATCTTCAGGACACAATCCTATTGTTCTTTCCATGCTTTACAAAGTGGTCCAGGTATTCCACATGACATGCTTTCATTAACTTCCTATCAAGGAGTCCATTTTGAATGGAAACATTAGAACTGCTTGGAAATGGAAACATTTTTCACAAAAGATGATGGTTGCTGTTTTGAGACCACTTCACTTTTTAGGCAGAATTACAGTCTTAACCAAATACAGAGCTTTTTAAGCTCTCTTCCATAAGATTTACTGTTACTCAGATTTACAGGATTGTGAATGAATATAGAATGCAACTTTGTCTTCATTACAAAAGGGACAGATATTTAGGATAAAAAATACTAATTGAGCAGATTTATTAAAATAAAATATTGTTATTTTGCTTTGGTATGTTGAGCTTGTTTATATGAGTGGAATAACCAGACATGCTGATAGTTTTTTTTTTTTTTTTTTCTCCCACTGCTCTGGATGTCCTGCGTGAGCAAGACAGTCCTGCTTTATCTCTTATTATATTATTATATTCTTCCAGATCATGGCTGATCACAGAGGCATGACCATGAGGAAACTTGTCTTTACTTTTGCCAGCTGCATACCAATCAATAGAGAGAAATCCATTTTCTTTCTATCAAGCACTGAAGAAGAAGAAAGGGGCTGTCTTGTGTGCATGTGTCAGAGTATACAAAAGTTTAAAGTAAACTCTTTCAACTAACTCTTTTTCCTGGCAGACCTTTCTCTGCCTTCTACTGGCTGAAGGGCATTGTAGCTCATGCTGTAAAAGGGGAAAAGATGTGCTGGCAGAGACTGCTTGTTTTAAGCTTCTATTTGTTTTGCCTCCACTCTAGGAAAGAATGCAATATTTCTACAAAACTCTGATTATTGTTGGTTTTTTTTTTTCGTTTTGTTTCCCCCTTGACTGACTTGAGCACCGGCAAAGCTCTCAATTGACAAACAGGAAACTGAAGGGATTCTAGTCCCTGTAGGACAGAGACAGCAAGGACTGCTGCTTTGAGCTGATCTTCTGTGAGGGAATGACTATCACCTGCCAATAACCCACATGCTTAGGTGCAGATTTTCAAACTGCAGCCACCTAGGCTCAAGCTCAGGCGTTGAAATCAATGCCCTGACATTCAGGAGTTAGTAACCCACTTTAGCTGCTAATTTTAGAATAGAATAATGTAAATAAATGCTGGACTGTGGGTTTAGCCAGCTGATCACTGCTCTTGGAAATGCTGCAACTAAGCAGTTCCCACTTTGAAGAGCAGTATTTAAGGTTCAGTTTCCATACCACTGACACCACACTGACAGAGAGGGTGCATGCCACAGCCAGCACCAGCTGAGAGCAGTACTAGGAGGCAGCAGGCCCAGGATGCTGCAGGCTGCAGCTATTGGTGCCTGATGCCATGCCACAATGCAGGCCACTGCTTCTAACTGCCTGCTCTAAAGCAGCTGAAAACTGAGTTGTTTTAGTTATTTCCTTTGTTATCTACTGTGGACCTTAAATGTGTATGTGCATGCTTTTGCCCTGACTGGATGAGAATGAAGCTGAAGACTTGGAAAGGGTAATTTGGATATATTGCTCAGTGCAGAGTGGTGCTTTTCAGGGTGATATGGTATCTGGCATTCTGTATCAGTTTTCCATGTATAAGAACAAGTTTTAAAAGGGAGGATCATCCATCCTCTTAGCACAGGGGTGACTGCAGGAAGGCAATCACCGTTTTATGATCTAGTGTTTCTGAAATGTGACTTGCATCCAGTTGCTTGATAATGGAGCAAGGGCTGTTTTTCTCTCTTGCTTGTTTTTTGCTGTTTTGTTGTTTTATTGTTGTTGCTTGCATTTATATTGCCCTGCCACTAGGGATGAGCAAAAAGAGCAAGAGAATAGAAATGATGAAAGATGAAAAGCTGAGACTTCTCCCCTCCACTGTCTTAGCTGCACATCTCTACAGCCATAGTCAGGTTCTCTGTGTTCTCAGTTGCAAAATACCAGTGATAGGAAAGCAGCTGCTTTCTTCTCCTGTCTTCCCCTCCCTAGCTATTTTAGAAGAGTAAAGCTGATACAGTGGTGTTTTTGAGACAGTTTGACATAGTGGCCATAACTACTTGCTGGCCTTCCCCTCTGAACTACATTGCAGAGGACTT